ACAGGAGATCATTTCCTGGACGAAGTCACCCTTAGTGGGTCCCACTAATGTTTAATAAAGTCCGAGGCCCTGAGAGATCATATCAAAGAATATGGACCACCTGTATAACGTACTGCGGTATAAATTCTCTTCTCCCTCAGTGCACTAAGATTAAGTTCAACCATACCTATATGGATACGTAGGTTGATTTGAGGCTTCGCACACCCATGGCCAGTGACCTTTTGATGCAACGGCTGGAATGATTCTCTGTGCCAGTGCAGTTCCATGCATCAGTTATATGTATTCCTATGGCGCTTTTCAGTATTTTGCGGGCCAATCGGCTTGGAGAATTCGGGAAATGTTCTGGAATGTGAACTGATTGGTGCTTTCTGTTTTGCCCACTTACATGGTGAACGTAGCTTGAGGTAGGAAGAATAGACAGACTACCATTCAGTAATAACAGCGCTATTCTTGCTGTATTGACCAAACACCCAGATCAACTGCGGCTGCACGCTATAGTAAACGACTTTTCGGCTGTCTTTGTAAACTTATCAGTAGAAACCGCTATCTGAAATTTTTCAAACGATGATTACCTCCCAGAAGCTTTAACGTTTCTCACTTTTCATAAATGACTTGCGTATCTTTGCGTTGCACATTTCAACAATAAGCCTATGCTGGTTTCTGTGTTCATCTTCAGAGACTCATGACTCACGATTAAAAAACTCAAGTTTAAAATGCTCTGACCCCCTTTGAAGCATGTGGCATCATGACGCTTCAGAAGTTGGTCAGGAATATGGCTCCGGTAGCAAGTTATTTCCCAAGATCATACCGACTGCCTTCCCGGTGACTTCGGAGAATCCAATAGAATACATGATGTGTTCGGTGGTTCTTTTTACAGCAGGAGTCAAACTCTGGACTTTTGAGTTGCTAGTCAACAAGGCCAAAGACAAACCTGGAATAATCTTGTGGCTAAACAAACTAAAAAATTACGCATTTAACGACTTTACAGTTTTAAGGAGCACACTGATGTACAACGAATCCTACTAATAGGCGAGTTAAAGGCACACTTCCGCTTCAGTAAGCCATGATCAAGCCGTATGCAGTATGCAATAACTTAGAAGAATTTTAAGCCTCCAAGTGACAGCAGTGAGTAGTAGGTTTTCAAACCTGTGTGTACGATGTACAACGAATCCTACTAATAGGCGAGCTAAAGGCCCTCTTCCGCTTCAGTAAGCCATGATTAAGCGGTATGCAGTATGCAATAACTTGAAAGAATTTTGAGCCTCCAAGTGACACCAATTAGTAGTAGGTTTTTCAAACCTGTGTGTATACACTTTTCATGGACGGTCGAACGGTTTAAGATTCAATAAAATTTGGGGCTGCACACCTCGACAAAATATCATGTTCCCTAGCTTCTGACTGTTGCCCTTTTACGCCTCTCTTACTAAGTTTTGTTTATTGGTTACCAACGCAGTGGCCAGCAGCCAATATGAAAGCACTCACTTGGATATACTGAAGCCGAGTGAAAGGTCATTCAGCGAAGCCATTCACTTGGCCAGCCGGGGTTCAGTGAGATTTTCTTGTAGCTTTTGTTGTAGCCAATCGCTGGAGTCATTCGTGCATATTTATCCAGGGATGTTGCTCTCGGTGTACCATACCTCAATGAAAAGACTGTTCAGTGATGTGAGGTGACTGTGAACGACATGAAGTCAAATAGCCTGCTTTCGCTACTTACGTTAGAAAACGCATGTTTCGGCTCATCATTCATATGGTCAACAGTTCAGTGACCATAACACTGGTTTGATGGTGCTTATGGTCTTGAATCTGCACGTAAAAACAAAACTAAAGGAATCATATCCAGTTCCAGTGAACAGTCTCACATCTGATTACTTTCCAGATCACTCTAACGAAGTGACGGGTTTTTTATGTCGGGCCGTATATATCCATACAAAAATTTTGTATGGTGAATGTCAAGCCGATAATTCACCACCATAGGCGTGCAATTAACAGCATGTGCTAGACATGAGTATATTAATTGACCCTCTCTGTTTCTCATCCTTTATTTGATCCTTACTTGCTCAGAACGCCATACAAAGATGTCACCGTCAAAAATCAGACAACAATATTATGCTAAAATTCACCGAAGTTTTGTTTATTGGTTACCAACGCAGTGGCCAGCAGCCAATATGAAAGCACTCACTTGGATATACTGAAGCCGAGTGAAAGGTCATTCAGCGAAGCCATTCACTTGGCCGGCCGGAGTTCAGTGAGATTTTCTTGTAGCTTTTGTTGTAGCCAAACGCTGGAGTCATTCGTGCATATTTATCCAAGGATGTTGCTCTCGGTGTACCATACCTCAATGAAAAGACTGTTCAGTGATGTGAGGTGACTGTGAACGACATGAAGTCAAATAGCCTGCTTTCGCTACTTACGTTAGAAAACGCATGTTTCGGCTCATCATTCATACGGTCAACAGTTCAGTGACCATAACACTGGTTTGATGGTGCTTATGGTCTTGAATCTGCACGTAAAAACAAAACTAAAGGAATCATATCCAGTTCCAGTGAACAGTCTCACATCTGATTACTTTCCAGATCACTCTAACGAAGTGACGGGTTTTTTATGTCGGGCCGTATATATCCATACAAAAATTTTGTATGGTGAATGTCAAGCCGATAATTCACCACCATAGGCGTGCAATTAACAGCATGTGCTAGACATGAGTATATTAATTGACCCGCTCTGTTTCTCATCCTTTATTTGATCCTTACTTGCTCAGAACGCCATACAAAGATGTCACCGTCAAAAATCAGACAACAATATTATGCTAAAATTCACCGAAAATCTGGTCAGGAAATGGCAAAGTTCAATCGAAGACCAGATTGATACGCTTCCAACTAAAGTGACGGTGTCTAGTGAATCTGAAAACATGAAGACTACGAACAATGGTGTTTTGCGGTTTTGTTTAAATCAGCGGACTTACGTTTCAAACAGTATCAGTAAACAACTTTATGACGCGCTTTTCAACTCAGCTCTCCGGCAGCCCAGCTGTTCTGACCTCGGTAAAGCATACATCAAAATACTGATAAACTGGGATGACGACAAGAGTTGCTTTCAAGTGTACAAACATGGCTTCAATACCTACAATCATCCGCCTTGTGTATTAGTCCTACCAACAGTTTCATCAGAGATGGAATTTCACCGCAAACGTGACCCAACTACAATCCAAAATTCACCCTGGATTATAATGGCCCCAAGTTTCACATTTGGTTCGTTCCATACAGGCACAGACCTGGTGGTGACCACCATGGCTTACCTGGAGTTGTTCAACAAAAGCTTGGATGAGACATCTCGGATATTGCTCAACTCTCGTTCGCGCTTACTTACTCTTTCAATCGGACGAGCCGGAAATGAGGAGGCAAACAGAACAAGCTACACGAATTTACTACTGCATGACCTGGAGAAGCTAAATTACGATGTCAGTCATCAGGAGATGAGTGCTGTTCACATTTCTATTCACCGAATGGAGGAGGAACTTTTAGAGTGCTGGAAAACGGAAGCACTTCAATCCATGCTCCAACTTTTGGGCGAAAGTTTGGTTTGGTTTCCATGTGTGAGCTCGCCTGAGGTAAGTGGGGTTATTACTAATAACCAGATAATGAGTGAATGTACCTCATTTCTTCGGGAGCAGATACAGTTTTAGATATTTCAGCAACTTGCTACATCTTGAAAATCGGAATTTCCAGGTTGGCGGACTTATCAGTGTTATCTCAGGTAGTAGTGACTTGCGTGTATTAAAGTTTGTGATTTTAACCTGATCTCTTGGGAGAGAATGTCAACACATTCATTTACGCGGATGGATTACTCAGTGGTCACTAGTCAAGTCGTCAGTTTTCTACAACCGATCTGGGCACGTTCTTCTGCCGGAATGAATAATCAACTCTTTTTTAAGGGGTGCTACAACGTCAGTCGTTATGGAGGCACTCCGCTTCTAACGAAACTGCCTGTACTTTGCAGGCAACTCGGGTCTCCCGAGGTTCACCAGGATGTTGTACAAAAGCTACATCAGGCACTGCACCTATTTTTCTCCCATTATCCAAACTCCATAGTACTCAAGGCGCGTATGTCGTACGTGGCCGTAAGTACAGTGATCTTGTCGTACATTGACACAGTCAGCAACTGGCCGTAAAACCAATTCGCATGAATGCGATTTTGTGTCATTTTGTGACTTCCCGCTGTCTTCGCCGTGCGATGCATCAGTGCCCTGGTGATTTGTCTGCAAGTTTTGAACACACTGTTGTCACTGTCACAGTTTACATGAGAAATACGCGTACAAACAAGCGTCGATCTCACAGTGTTTTCTCTAATTTGAAACAAGTGTTGTACCGGATCGGGTTACATAATATTATATAGACAGGAAGTTTGTAATGTAATTAGGAAATGAGGACCCGAACCGGTGCTCTCAAGTGACCATATTGAGGAGGCATCAGTTGCAGACCGATGTTACCCATTGATAGACTGAGAAACAATGTGGTGGACTGGGTTGCTAAATTATGACTCGGTGGGTTGTGTCTATTCAGCGTCCCACCAACAGGTTTCGTGTGAAAATATCTAGGGGCATCTTTCTTGTGAAGTCAGTCGTTTCCGCAGTAAACTTCGGATTTTGTGGTCTACAGTACCAGCAGTTGGAAACCTATCTTAAACAGCTTGGTCTTCAATACCATCGTGTGCTTTGTCAAACATTTTTATGGTGGCTTGGCTTTGATATAATTTTGCAAAGATCTTACAAGGTCCAGAATGAGAGTGAAACGCCGCTGGGCTTATTGAAAAACACGGATATACGTGTGTAAACCCACTCGGTACTGTCATGTGTCGAAGCTTGGAAACTTCGCTGAGCCCGACGCCGACTTAAAATTTTCCATAAAGTGAGTTCCTGGAGCATAGAAGCAGAAGCATGAAGTAGCGGTCACCTTTGCTATAGCAGCTTCATATCATTTCACGACTGTTTGTGACCCTTATTTTAAACTTATATTTCAATCTAAATGAGATGCCAGTGGATCCCATGCCTGAAAGATCAGTAGCGCTGTAACATAAATGGGCGTTGGTCTCACTGCTGATCAGCCGCTCGTGGATAAATGGTAGTGTTCCAACTATTGACCGAAAGGTTACGAGTTCAGATCGCCCTGGATGTTAGCGAAGTACGAACTACTGATGATTCTGAATAATGATGAGACGGCTATACAGTGATTCTTGGCTTTTCAACATAGATTGGCTTCACTTACAGAACGAAATATGGTTTACCTGGTAATACCGAAAATACATTTTTAGGGGGAATACACTGGAACCTCACACACGTGGATCGTGAATCATGTCAAGAAGTTACGCTCAAGTGAATCTCTGAGAGCAGATTAACTAAACTGATTCAGTAGAATTTCAGACCTCCAATGGGACTGGTGAGACAGATAGACAAAAGTCAGTGGTCGTCGACGAAACAGTTAATGGAAGAGCCGTCTGGAAGGTACTTCGGGATTAGGACATTAGTACGCCTTACATTAACACCAAGAGCTACGGGCCTCATCCAACACAGTATGGCCGCCGGAGATGAAGAGTATGCGAAATCATTGGGTCTTTTATCACTGATATCTAAGAACTGTGACTGCAACCCGCTGGAACCAACGAAGTTGCAGTGAGCTGATAGGAAAACAGGTAGCTGTTGTTGTGGATGCAGTCATGAGGTTTGAATCCAACACGGCAAGTTAAGCTAGATAAGTCATGTGCCCTATTCACCAGCTGCAAACGAGATTACTGTTTCATCTGGCTAACTTGTAAGTGGCTACAAATTGGAGGTTGACAAAATGACTTGGTAGAGCGAATTGAATTATGCAGCAAAAAGCCTGGGTGCTTCTGGGTTAAATTTCCTGTATGCAGCTGCCCTTTACCTGCTGTGGACGTCGGAATGTATAACGACCAACTAGTACCAATGGCGTATATATCATTAGTTCCTGTCCAAATCATCTGACTGGATGTTGAAATTTTAGGCGTCTCGGTTATTTATGGTAGGTAAGCACTAGTTTTCTGTTCTTGTCTCACCTTCCTTCCTTTGCAGCATGCAAAATATCAAGAAGAATTCCTAAAATGAGATGAATTTTGACCAAGAGTTTATGGAACCTATGTTTATCCATCGACAGGTTGATCAGACAGACATCAAGAAGGAAAATGATTCATCCACTGGCGAAGTACAGGAGACTGGTGGGAAGAACATGGGGCAGATTCCACCGCTTCAGTGGCGGTTGAAGCTCTGGACAGCCCGATGTCCGTTTAGCTCTTTTTTAGACTAGTCAGTCATGTCTGGTCTTCGTATCTCCATCTACCACAATTCATAATTACCTGGTTCGCTCCGGTACTCTCATGGAAATAGCCAATGGTACACAAATTAATTGCTTATGGTCAAAGCATTAAACCACAGCTTCAAGAAACATCTTTCAAAAACAGAAAGAACACATTCATGGAAAATAAAAAAGGCTGACCAAAAGGGCGATAAACATCGACGACACCTTCAAAACTTAAATAGGGTTTATATCCATGAAAGGACTAACTTAAGGAGATATCATGGCCAGTTCGCATCAAGAGACCACTGTTGTTTATTTGGCTTGGATGAACCTTACTTGTGTAGGCACTTACAGTCCCATGAAAAGATTAAGCATTTATAAAACACAATACGACGGAAATATCTGAGCCGCATTTTGAGTGATCAGTGCACTTCTAAACACTTAGAATTCGTGTCCTTCTTCAGTTGTTACGAGACTCGGTTTTCGGTCTCGTCCCAATCACGCCTCCGTCAACTCTCGATGGAAGCCAAGTGAACACCCTTTCATGGCAAATTCAGTTGCTTCTGTGTTTGGGAAGTGGAGCCATCCCGGTCCTCGTCGGCGAGGGACAACTGCCTTTTCCGATGGCAATAGGCTATGAACGATGGTCACAAGCAACGATAAGTATATCGGTTCGCCAACTGGATCAGTTGCGCCCCTTACTTCTTTCAGTACCCGCCGAAGAAATTGAAGTGTTGCAGCAAAATGTGAGTGCGCATAATGTACAATTGCGTATCGTACAAATAAAATGATTTTCGAATTCCTTAGACAAAATGTCTCACAATCGGCCTGCTTACCGTAAGGAACCTCATCAATCCAGCTTCGTCTGTATATACTTACATCTTGTGTCTTCCTCAGATTGATATCAGTAACTTGAAAAGCGTCAATAGCGTGAGCACTATGGGTCTCTTAACACACTAGTCGTTGCAATCCCATACTCCTGTAAAGCTTATACATCAGTGGATAAACACCAATCGGAGCAAAAACAACTCTTAACACACTAGTCGTTGCAATCCCATCACCAACTGGAGCAAAAACACTGATATGCGTATTTTGAATTTCTTCTGATATCTGCATACTTATGGAGGATGATGACAGAATCAACCCTTCTCGACAATGGTTTGTTGCTTTATGGCAAGTATCTAAACTCGCCATGTTGGTTTGCTGCTTCTCAAGCCAGAGAAGATAATTTGAAATTGTATGATGAATCTCACAACGAAGGATGTAAATACATATACCTCAGGTGCCTCTCCGGACATCCGATTTTGTTGACAGTCCACAGTTTTTTCCCGACTCCGGACGCTTATAAGACTGCAACCTAGCGAAGTAATAACCCAAGGTGAACTGATGATCGGCTCACGATCAAAACAATGTTTTTTACACCTGGTTAACATTCTTATTTTTACCTAACACTGTGCCCATAAAAAACGGGCGAAGAAGCCTCTGGATTCAAAAAAAATTGAGAACACCCACTCTAAAACAGCAATATGTTGCTTAGATTTTTTGCGTTAATAGACAGTTGTGATAGCATTAGACAGGATAAAGTCAGTCCCATAAGCAATCACTGTTGATCGATCAGGAATACTGATAGACGGCGTGACGAATACGCATATTGGTGCAGTTTGGGGTATACAGTCGCTACTAGATTCTAGGCGTGTTGTAATTAACGCGTTGAGTTTTGAAGCAGTACTTGGTTGACCAAATTCTGTGTGTCTATTGCTACTGAAAACATATGAGAGTAATGTGCATGGTCCCCAATTCTGTCCCTTCCGCTTGACGGTCGGAAAAATCACAACTCCACAGACGGGTTTCATATTGCACGTCTTAGCTTTTTCCCCGTTATCTGCGAACAGACAATGGATTCACTGGCAACACTTTCGAGATCGCAAGCTCTATTCTCTATTCATTGGTGCCTAATCGGCATTCGGTACATTTGACGGATCAAAAAATATCTTGCTTGGTGGTCGAGGAAGACAAGTACAAACTCTCCGATAACTGTTGCAGCAGCGACAAATCCAGTGGTTCAGCCACATTGAGCGAATACCCAAAGCGATCTTGCAGCACTTTCAAGACCACAGGCTCCAGCATTCCTCCCAACCAGAAAGGAGGTGGCAGCGTTTCTGCAATGTAGAAACTCTGTCGCATTCGTCCAAATCCAGACTTCACCTTCAATTAGTTTGGCTCAGCTATTCCATCTGTTTGTCAGGCCTTGAAAGGAATTAACCTCTGGATTGACAATACAAAAACCACTTTACAACCAAGGAGCGTCTGGTCAGAGGGTTAGTGCCTTGACCACTGAGCCATCTCAAGCTGAATGGCTTCAACTGAAGGTTTATTTCCTTCACGGGAAAGTGAATTTATGAAGATCGTTGTGTTTTTAGGTTGTATAGATTATGTGAAATCTAGCGAGAAGCTTGCCTAATAGACGTATAGCACTACTAAAATTGTTTACTGTACTTTCCACTACCTGCTCGTCTTGCGCATCTGTGTAAAATGTTCACATTTATGCTCCACAACCCTTGAGCAATTTATGTGTGATAAGTTGATCTACCCGAGTCAAGTAGTAAATTCACATAACTGTTCCTTGCAGTATTTGACAGCACGACTCTTACAAGGAAAAAGAAACCATTCACCGGTCCTCAAACACAAATGTGATACAGTCATTCAGCAACAAAAAGGCTGTCCATCAATCAGTGTAAATAAAAATGCACAACAATATGATAGTACTTCCATCCACATTACCTGACATGTCAGGCCAACCAAGTACATACACTTGTCAACTACTGATATGCACTTGAGTGGCGTCTGGATGTAGGAGGGAGATTCAAATAGTAGCTACTCAAGAACCTTAGCTGTCTGTCCACTGAAGGCTTTAAACCTACCTTTCGCACCAAATGAGCACTATTGAATCACCTTTTATAGACCGTGTGGCGTAAGGCCAAATGTAGCCTTGACACTCTCCAACTTGAACGCTATTTAAACTTAATCTTGAGTAGTAATTGGGATCGCGTCTCGAAATACACTGAATAACTTTGTAGCTGACCTGAGAGATGGAATTTCGCTATTTAAACTTAATCTTGAGTAGTAATTGGGATCGCGTCTCGAAATACACTGAATAACTTTGTAGCTGACCTGAGATGATGGAATTTAAGTATGGTGGTGTGTGTAGGACAATGAAACTTGTAATTTGCTACGAAAGTTCAGCAGAACATGAGATGAACCGCAGGTGCGTTTCGCTACAGGAAACTTGAGTTACGAATAAAGGATGCACCAACCGTTCAGGTTATAAAAACACTTTTTGTGCACGTACCCATATCTCCGTTGGTAAAATCTTATATTTTCATGATTTCAGGGCAACAAGTTATTCAAACGGTTTCTGCAGGACATTTCTACCCAAACTTCGACACTCTTGTTGGAATTAATTCTTCGATTCGGTTTGATGAAGCCTCCGGCACCACAGTGGAGGACAGTTGTAACGGCACGACCAACACCGATCATTTCGTATCATACGCAACAACTTTCCGGCCTAATCGGCTTGCCATCCGTTCCTGAAAATTTCTATTCCCTTGATCAATATACTCATACTCGGTCCGCACCGATGAGCTTCGAAGGCCGAATGATTGTGAATCCTTTTTGGTCGTTTCCTTCTACGCCGTGGGACATTAAACCACCACACCAACAGTTTACTGGTAAGCAGACAAGCTTATTTTTGAACGCCAAGGTTTCTCTGAGAAAGCTTTTAGTTCTTCATGATTGTTTGTGGCTGATCGTTTAAAATGTTTATGGCAATGACGGATGCACAGCCGACAATGTGTGTTGAAGCCTATCATTTAAACCTACGAGCAATAGAAGTACCATCGTACAAAGGTAGTTACTGATAAGATTACGTTACGTCACATCACATCACATTGCATTACATTACTATGACATTGACGGAAATCAGAGAGCACTGTATAAGCCGATTCCGAGTCATATAGATACAGATAAAATAGCCTGAATTATCATAGGTTACTATTAGTCGTGGTAGGGTAGCTCCTCTAAGCTTACTAATGATGATCTTCTACCATCGTCATAATCATCGCATACGGAAAGGACAGCTCTACAAAGATGCGCACAAGTGTAAATTTCCTTTCGAAAGCCCTCGGACGGACGACGAATGACGTTCAGCATGGAATAGCGAGCCGTATACGGTCATAGATGCCGAATTACGGTTCGACATTCTAGGTGGTTCAAATATTTTGTGTGTAGCTCTTATATTTCAACTCCTCAAGCTAAGCTCCCGGAGAGTCAAAACTATGGCGTACAAAATGCCGCCAGGATCAACTGTTATATTTACTTGTTTCCGCCCCCTTCCAACCTGGGAGCGAGCGAGAGGGCCAAGTGGTTAGAGTGCAAATTCGAACCCGACCTCTTCCTCTCTCTTCCTCCTGTCTAGGCTTGGGCAACCTGGAAGTACCCAGCCTCCGCAAGATGGGCCAAGTTGTTAGAGTGCAAATTTGAACCCGACCTCTTCCTCTCTCTTTCTCCTGTCTAGGCTTGGGCAACCTGGAAGTAGCCCAGCCTCCATGCTTTCTGCTTGCTTTCTTTGGATTTTTTTCAACCCAGTTTGGTTGTGCTTGATGTAGGTCCATCCAAGACTAGAAAGTTACTGATCGCAGAGGAGACGTTGAGAATAAACGCACCGATTAACTTGGCATAATGATGCTGATCGCTTTAACATTCAAAAGAGCAACTATACAGGTGACCATGCTAGAAAGTTACACAAACTATATTTTCAACTAAACTACCCCGTTCATCAAATACGGGGACAATTTCCATCTCACTGATGTGTTTCCTCTGTTATATTCTGTAACAGTCAATCGTGGATTACGGAAAAGCTATTGTTTATCGATGCACACTACTCGTCATAATTCCCAGATACTTTCGAAGGGGGGTCAGTTTCGAATTATGAGCTGGTCAACTTATTGAATAAATACTGCAATGCAGAAGCTCCGCTAGAAATCAACGTTTCGAAGTACTCAAACTGTTTCCCGCTGCAACGTACCGTACAACTAATGCTTTGACCCAAATTGAAACCATAAGCAAATAAGGCCACAAAGTTTTCCCGAAATACTTCCATTTGTACGCCAATTCGACTTTAACGGGACACTCAGATGAATTCCAGCTAAATCTCTCATTGAGGCTCTTGATAGAACCAAATCGATGTGCAAATGAATATAGTTTGCAAAGGTCGTACAGTTAGGGTTAAAACCGAACTCAAGGTTGACAAAACTGAATGACTGAGCCTGTCTGATGAGCTCCAAGAAACCGACATTCCAGTAGCTTTGTGAGTAGAGTTTCTACATGACTTTTCATCTTCTTAACACATCAAGGCTATACGCGAGAACGGGAGCATCTAAAACCATTAAAAACAAGTCCCAGTTCTTCACTGAAGCCGTTGCGTAGAGCAAAATCACTTCAAGCTAGGCATGTTTTTGGTAAATCCTTCATATCTCCAGAAGGTGAATATCTTCACATATCCCATCTTCCAGTTTGCAACTGAACATTCATTGCATCGTCTCCCAATCTATTTCTTGTTCCTAACTATCAGGTATACGTCCATAAAACTTTGGATATTCTACCAGGCATTAGCACGATGCACAACATTGATATTTTCGACGGAAGACAGACAGTTCTATACAGGACTGGACAGGACTGGACACTATCGTAGCATACTCTGAAATCATGAGCTGAATTCATCCACAAACTGGCTATTGCTCTTTGCGTACTGTCTGGGGCGCGAGACACGTCGTCAGTTCTGTCCTATATGACAAATGAAATACGATCTACTTATTGACTTGTGAATACCAACAGTTTCCCACACACATACTTATAAATTACTTTAGACTACAAAACAATTAATTCAAAGAAGTTTTTCGCTGAAAATATTTTTGGATGAAGATTCTCAACTGAGACTGAGACTTGTATTGATATACATCGTAATCATTCCAAACAATCAATGTTCACGGAAAGAGCGAGAGCGATCTTTAAAAAGGATGAACAGTACGAGCAAGGTATCTGCTTCAGATTTTGATTCAATAAACTAAGCGCAATAACACTGTGACCGTGCTTTATAATAAAATAAATAACTTATTGTGCAAATGAGCCTTATTGTCCTTGGTCGTTATTATAAAGATTGGTACTAGTAACTTGATGTAAGGAAGCCATTTAACTGGAGTTGAACGACAGGCTCTATCCATGAGCGATCTCAATGTAACTAGTTTCATTGCGTTGTAGACATCCTGTTCGAGATGGACAATTCTTGTATCAAGTTGAAAGTTGTCAGATCTACGGAACTGTATAAGGTGTTTAACAGATGATGGTATGGATTTGCATGACCACATTATCAAACACTATAGATATTCGAGTTGGGGTGTCGTGGCAACAAGCAGAGACCGTAGCCTTGACCATAAACTTTTATCACTTCACTAAAGAAACCACTTCCAGTAGGAACTGACCAATAAAAGCCACTTTTGGCCCATGAAGCATATTCCAGTATTACACGTCTTCTCAGAAGAGATCAACTCATAGGGGGGACAAGTATACAATCATTTTTTAAGAAGACAGGCCTCTAATAACGGTACTTTTTGATCAACCTTTTTAAATGATCTTTCCAGAACAAGTTATTTCAGCGAAGTTGTTCCAAGGCTAAAAGTTATTCGCAGAGATTCACCAGAGATGATCTCCAGCAGCACATGTTCTTCTCTAAAGACAGTCTAACCATTTGAGAAACACAGTCGACCAGAAACAAGTGGGTGCTTCTGAAAGGTGGCTGTTATACAAGAGGGAACCATACAGTGTGCGATGATGATTACAGGCATATTGTGAGACTCAAATGTATTTAGGGGAAACAAAGGACATAACAACAACCGGGATATTTTTTGACAACTAAATTTAGAGGAATTTCTCAAGCACCATGCTATGTTTCTGAAGCTACAGGCACAACAATGGCCTGTGGCGCTTTTGAACAGCATTAATAAGTGACCCAGTCAGAAAAGGGGATACGTTCTAAAAATGAAAAGGAATGTGAAACCGGCCGGAAGGCATTCTTGTTCAGGCTGATTGGCTACATAAACATTCTGGATTTTGAACCACGAAGTCTGCTGCGCAGGCCGATTTTTAACATCGTCCCATATCAAGCAGAATTTATTAAGGTTTGTTAACAAATACTTTGTGTATTCAAACCGAAGCTGTATTACTCTGTCTGTACGGCTGAGTTTGTCTGGCAAGTCAGCTTCATGAAAACAAGTATGAGCATAAGCTAATCTGCTAACCTGCATACCAATTTCGGCTTCGACGAGAGAACCACCTGGAACCCAGCTGAACCTCTCAGGTTTGATGTTCTTACTCCTCTGGATGTTATGCACCAGGCCGTCTCACGTTCCAGTCGGCACGATAATCAGTATATCGCAAAACATTGTATAGACTGAATATATTACTCATAAGGTAGTTGAAAATTCATCGACAGCCTATGACCGGTTCCGCCCCTCTTGGGCTTCACGTAAGCACAGTCATCGAGTAGTGTCTGATCATGACCAGGTAACTGGACGGCTATTCCCACTATTTGACCGAGTGTCTAGAATTCTTACTGACTAGTGAAGAGGTTGAGTTTCTAGACAAATTTTCCACGGGAAACAGTACTTTCAGTTACTTATCAAACTTTTTGTGGCTCTGAGTGCGGACATTTCTAAGACATTCAAAGGCACGTGAATTCTATGCATTATCTGGTCCTTTGATCGAAGTCTCGTTGACTTGTTCAAATATTGTGTCCTGACGCACAGTGTCCCCATAACTCGTAGAAGGTATCGTGATAAAAATGAAGAAACCACCTGCCTTTTCTTCTGAGATTAACAGAAGACATTGAATATCTTACAGCCAATGTTTGTCCGCACATCAAAATTGTTTAATGGGATGACACTATCCAACTCACCGTTTCTGTCAGTGCAATCTTCACTGGTGTGGCAAGCTACTCATATCTAAAAATAAAACAAGCTTTCCGAAATCTCCAAGGTAGGCCCATCTATGTAAATCAGTATATTATTCGTCCTATTGCATATGTTTTTGTAGATCCTGAACTTTTGGGCACTCCTTATGTTCTTTTAGGGCATATCTTTCCAACTCCTAATTTCAGCTTTGATTTTGTACTACAACCGGTTCAAAGTACTTGTGAAAACACTCTTCTCGATGCAAGGTCTACCATTCCTCCAATCGATTATCATTGTATGGAACAATCCCATTGGACCGGATGAGTATGTGCACTGGCCACACCTGCAAATTCCAATAAAGGCAAGGTGATATTTTCATTCAACATTTGTACTTCACTGCTAAACATGCTACGAACCCGGTAGGGTGGAAATATTATGTTTGTCACTAGTATTCTGCGTGATTTGCTAGCTTTTGCCGGGACATAATTAAGATAGCTTCGTGCAGTGATGTCGTGTGAAAGATTTGACGGTCCTCGCAATAGGCAAGGATCTAAGAACTAGGCAATAATTTAACCTTGCACAAAAGACTTAAAGAGCACCCTGTCAACTTCGATACATGCACGCACGTCTTTTTGGATTACTTGTCTAATTCAAGCAACAAAGGATCTACCAGCAATGTGCAGCAAGAGTGCAGAGGCCGTAGTTATTGGAAACGATGACGGCAACTCAAATGATCACTCTTCAGATCACTGCCTCCAAATACTTCAACAATGAAATTTTCTCCTGAGAAGCCGCATGCTGGAAGTGTCTGTCCATAGAATCGGTTAGACAAGCATGATATATTCTCGGCCATCAATTTTCTTTAAAAACAGGCAGTCTGTTGACCGCCACCCGCTGCTTTCAAATTGCTTACTGAAATCTAAAAGTCTGGAATGATGTCTCTCTAGAAGACTGTAGTCTTCGGTAAACTAAACAAAAGATCTCAAATGAATTCGCTTTTTTTTAAAATTGCAGCGCTTTGAGGCTCTAAATATTCATGCCGTTTTGATGCTCAATGAAAGAAACATGTAAGGTGATAGAACACAAAGCGCGTGGAGGCCACATTTTCAGTGATTTACCCATGGGATCTTCAGACAGTCGCTCTACGCTCCACAGTTCTCGGGGAGCTTAGGCGTAGAAAAGTGTAGACTTGTACCTTATTTCTGTCTAAACCTAAAGTTCAAATATACCTCCAGTCTTCAGTCGTATTTCTTTCAAATCGCCGTCCCGCAGCTTCTCACTTAGTCCTTGTTTCCTTGACATAGCAGGCAAACAATTCTTACTGTGTTTGAAACAAAATTTTCAACATACTTCTTTTTTCGTGATGTTTTACAGCGGTGATTTCTAGATCCAATGGGGTTATTGTTAAGTACGTTTGGCCTACTCAAGTTACGGTTTCCATTCCGCTCATTTTTATCGCAAGCAACGCATTTAGTCAATCTGTTACCATCAGAGTTCCACTGGAGTCAGGTACAACTATAGGTGCAACTGCTATATACAACGTATATACGACTGCCGGCTCCATTGGTAGGGCTCGGAAAAATGCCGTAAATCAAAATTAACCGTGAAGATTACATCATTCGGCACGTCATCATTGTAGGGCTCGGAAAAATGCCGTAAATCAAAGTTAAGCGTGAAGATTACATCATTCAGCATGTCATCATTTTGGTGCTCAGCCATCATATCATCATCATCAACGTCATCATCGACAGAATGACATCAGTGTTCAACACTGATGCTTCACTGCCGAACTCAGCCATAATATGGCACAAAATAAACCCAAATGAGGGGACAGTGCAAGTTTATGCAAGTTTGGAGTCGATCTGCTGAAACGTCTTTATCCAGAATCAAATTGCTGTCTTTTTTGTCATGAAATCTCCACTTAGCATCTTGCTCACTGAAGCCCTTGACTGAAATTCAGTAGTACATACGTTCACTTTACTAAGCCACGCTTGCGGGGACAGCGCATGCCTATAAAAGCACTGGTAAAAAGGCAGGCCAAGTCGCAGTGAACGCCGCTTGGTTTTAAGGGAAGGTATGGTTCCATAGATGACCATGGTTGATTAAGTTTGAAGCAGATGCATTTGCATTATAGACTAGCGATTTCCGCCCCCTGTTAGAATTGGGACCCGGTTGAACAATATATGGTTCTAATACGTTAAACAGAATGAAATAAGTTAAAGGATTCACAATTTTTTTGCTCCAAGCATTTGATGGTAAAATTATTGTGGCGCCATGCTTCTGCCATGGTCGCAAAAGTGTTAATGCCAATAAGCCTGATGAAGCAACTCGTTGAAAAAGCTTTCACCGCCTTTTTGACTCGAATTTATTTATCTCCAAGACTACACATCACACTCTACTGGACGCTGGTAAATTGCAGAGTGCGGAAAGAGATGCACCTAAAAAGAATTCTGGGTGGTGAAGCCGGCACTCGAGTAGAAAAACTATTAAAAAAGGATTACATTCCTGATTTTTCTCGTATTTTCCATTTGTAACTTACGCTCACGCAGTGTAACTCTGTCTACAGAAAAACATTCAGAAAGTACATGCTGCAAGGTGAACAACCGCTCAAGTACTAGGAGGAAATGTGTGTTGCTTTCCTACTCATTGTTACGAAATCAACAGTAACAAGCTGATTGGGATATGACATCTTCGGACGCTTCTTAGTTCACCAGATCAGCTATTCTTAATGGTAACTAGTCATGAATGCAATATCGTGTTAGAGCATAGATATTTAATATACAAGATCCTCTGGCACCTAAATTGGATCGACCTGTTAACGGTGGCTGATCCAGTAAAGGTGGTGAACGAGGAGTCGAATATGGCGTTATGTGCAGGCTGTTCACGTAAATGTAAACACGAGGGAATTAGATTGCTTGACAAATACACGGAAACCTGTTGGGAGTCAAAAGCAGGCACAATCGCGTAACACTGACCACTAGCACTAGTGCTTTTGCACCCAAGCACTAATGTCACAAGTCAGTTACTCCACTTTTCTTCAGGACACCGCGCATCAGTCACACAAATTGCTGCAATAGTGCTTTCTATGAATGATCATTATTGCATCATGTAGATAAGCATAGAATGCCAAAAGTTAGACTAGTGGTCGGATAGCCGCTAATACCGTGATCTCCTGGCGTCTGTGTGTACGACACTTAGATCGGGTAAATGTCAATTGCAAGCGGTGGAAAATTAATCCCAAGCAATTCATTGGTAGTTTGTGATGGTTCTCGTTGATATGCTCGTTATCGGCCCATGGTCCCCCCGGATCCCTACGGAACAATATGGCTGTTTCGGTTGACCCGAGCTCAAGGATTGAGTTCGTGTCTCAAGCGTAAAGCAGTTTGCTAGGCCGCTTCATTAAGCGTCATAATCTTCCAAGATCTGAAAACATGCTTACAGCTTTTAAACATAGTTTAAGTAATTCTGGCCGTTCCCATGTTTGAAATCCATTCATCCATTGATCTTACGTGAATTGCTTTGAAATGCGACGGTCGACACTTTTGTGGCCCATCCAGCGTTGCTGGCTCTATATGTACCCCACTCCCTTGGTCTTGGGTCGCTTGAGAATTAATTACTCAGACTTATGCCCGACCAACTGTTAGGTGAAGTACAGCAAGCATCCTGTTGTGCCGCTATTATTGCGTCCATCTTTCAGTATCATACAGCGGTAAAGATGGCGAGTACAACAGTTCGGTGCACCAACCAGATTATAACTGCCAAAGCGCACATGTATAGTTGAGTGCTGAGATCACGCAAAGGGTAATTTGACGTTGACTGTAATCAACAGTTAAGTAATTTGTCATGCCTGAGAACCATAAGTTGCTGACATGTCGACGCTCTCATTGCGTTCACCGACAAAGCCACTGACGTTTCATTGTTTTTCACATTCTGGCTTATATAGTCATCAATAAGAGGAGGCGAATGCATAAAATGTCGCTGACGTACGCTTTTTTAATGCACAGTGGGTTCTGAGGACATCAGATTGCAGCTTTTTTATCTGCTAGACGTTTGTGGCTATGCGTTGGATTCCGCTAGGTGGGCGCACTGAAAAACTCCGAAATAATCTGATGAGTTGGCTAAAATCCACCCAAACCTTCAGTTTCGTCCAACTCTCTCAGCTACGGAACCTCTGACTGCTGCGTTCAGACCAAAGATCATTGAGACCTTACTTTGATAGGTTTGACTGTTATCTGTCTACCTGAGGTTTTCTGTTTACTTCAGCTATGCAGGTAGAGCCAATTTAAACAGCAGACTTCAGAGGATGAGTGCACTATTACCACTCGCACTAAGTGAAACTGGACTTAACAAACCCAGACCAAATTGTTTTTTACTAGTCTGCAAGGTCACAGAGTTAGTATGGTAAAGTGTATCGTTAGAACCTCCAGGCCAAGTCACTGAACATCAAAACAGGTTGATTCGCGAAGCCTTTTTTCACCAGCCAAATGGGTTTTTGTTTCCACTTGTTGTGAGAACAAAATTCCTTGCTAAGTACAATGCGTCAAGTTTGCAGCAGTCCCTGGCTTTCCCGGAATATTCCTATCTAGATTAAGACAGCTATCGCCAATGGCAAGCACTTAAACCAACGATTTATCCCAGAACCGGTTAGCAGGGATGCAGTTCTTTTGGTTATATCTCTTGTCTATTGATCTATACACTACGAAATAAACCAGTCTGGTTCTTGAGCAACATTGAGTGGATATCTTTTGTTGAAAGGCTGAAGAAATTCCTCAGAGAGTACCTCGAAAAATTGTTTGGGCTAACAGGGTTTAGGAAGGGATTCGGTCATGCGATGTTGATTTCTAACCGAAAACATGACGCAATTTAACGCCTGGACCTCAGTTACTCAGAAGCCTTTACAAAGCGTATCACCTACTGATTCCTTTAGAAATCGCCACAAGTCTTTGTCCTTGATCCTGTTAGCTGCTCTAAGGTTAAATGCGTTGTTTGCTATTCCAGGATGTATCCAAGGCAAGTAGCTTTCAGGAGACGTTTGTTCCATAGGTGTCCGTTATTGGGAAAGTTCTCCATACTCTGCGTATCATGGTGCATACTTGAGACAGTATTTGCGTAAGGTGATGTGCGTTCTTTTCACTGATCTCCAGCCTTATGTATTGGCTTGATGAATGACCGAGAAAACACCCGGTCACCTTATCTCACATTTTTGCCAAAAATGGAATAATCTACTTAGGCGCCGTATCCGGTATTGTTGCCTAACATGAGAACAGTGTAGGCGGGTCACGAGAATGATGTAATATCATGGGGGTGTAGGCGCAGCGAAGACAGATTTCTACTTTTAGTCACTTTATAGATGTTATTTGAGACAGATTATCGTGAAAAGTTCCGAAAATAAATATAGAAGGCCTTGTTAAAGCAGTTTCATGACGTTACACGTGTTCCAGAGAGTGTCATTTTAACCAGCGGGACCTCTGTACTGCATTTACTACTTAATTATAGACTGCAGTCAGCTACATATACTTTGCCTGTTTACTACTGCATTCAACGACCAGCGAAGCCTGCTTGTTCTGTGGCAACTACTAGAAGTGCTCCCCAATGTTACTCCCGACAGGTCTTTCAAGCGACGAAAAACAGCCTGAACAATCGTTTTCTCCCACTGGATTTGATTTTGACGGATGCAGTACTGTTGCTTGATGATGACGTTAAACTCAGCAAAGAAGAAATCGAATTTGGATTTAGGTAAGTCGTATCAACCATTTGGCTTTGAGATTCCCTGATTCCTACTTGTGAACGACACGATTAACTCCTAGTTTGCTGATCCCCTGGTTAAGTAAAGACATTCACGTTCAGTGAGTCTACCGGTGTTTTGTGGGTCTCCCAAAAAAACCCTCACACCTCTGACACCGACGAAGGTACACTCTTGTTTCTTCAGGTCAACCCCTATGATTATTGTGCAAAACAATGGATGTTCATAATTTGATGGTCAATACGGACGCAGGCAATTAGTATGAAAATTTCGCTCCCACAATGATCCCAGAAGGCGGCCATCCTGCAAAAATTGAAAGCTACGGTGGCATCTGTTTTGGTCGTCTCTAGAGTTGACGACCCTACATGATCTATCAGGTTGATGAACCTGACGGCCAACACGAAAGAAATATACAAATTTGTTCTGCAAGTGTAAACAACGACTATCAAAGTATGTTACTACCATTACCCACTTCTGCACTGGACTGGGATCTGAAACACCTGTCAAAACTTTGTCAAATTTGGTGACACCATTTTTAACCGCATATACCAATGAAAGTTTATCCAGGGATCTTTCACGTCCGAAAATTTCCACAGCACTTGACCAGACTCCTAGTGGAACTTAACTTCGTAAAAACATGATTGATGTTGGTAGTTTGAACGAATTTCATGTCATATTGCATATCTAACTAGGCAGTATTTCGATGCTCACTCCTAATGATTCTGAACAAGCATGAAACAGCCGTACAACGCCTCGCAAGTGAGCAGTCTCGCTTGCATTCAGTTATCGGAGAGAACCTCAATTTAACCTGGTGGTTCACCTGATACACTCCCACTTCGCTAACCTACTAATTACAACTTAAAGTTCAAACTGAGGCGCAGTCCTCGTATTATAGTTAGATCACCATACTTCCCATGTAACATGTTTCAGTAACGTGCGCTCAAAACAGCTGAGATAAGAGTTACTTATGCTAGCCCCCAGAGTGTCAGTGGTCACGGAAGTACACTGACAAGTTCAGTGGTAATCAAACTGACTGCTAAATAGATGATCATCGAACGTTCCTTTCTGTGGGCAAAATAACTGCCAGCCAAGAGTGTCTGTGTGTGTGCATCGCTCTCTTGAACGGCTAATTGGGCTGTGACTTGCTCCTGTTTTCATTTTTCGTAGAGAGGGGAACCTCTGCATGATGGTCTCTTTTGGCCCAGTTACACACACAGACGTCCTTATTCGCCTACTGTCCGCAGAGACGCTGCTTTAGCTGGTTCGGTGTAATGTCTGATAATAAGTGAAGTATAGGAATCTATTGTACCAGGTTGCTTTCTGAAAGTGCAATTCTATGTTCACTGGGTAGTTTTGTGTAGCTGCCAGAACAAGGAGACAGCTGAAACAGGATTTTTGATATGAAGTATGGTCTGCACATATTCAGGCTAGTTTTTTAGCCGCACTGTTTGCTCTTTACACAACCTCGTTCCAATTTTTAATACCTTTTACACGTAAATTTGGATAGAACTGTTGCAAGATGTGCTGCCAGTGTCTGAAGTAGAATCTATGCGATCTTCATCATGGATGAAGAAACATTCTCTCATCCAAATCACTTCCCCTAATATTCCTCAATTCTCCCTTATTTTCGAGCGCCTGGACTAATATTCCTCAATTCTCCCTTATTTTCGAGCGCCTGGAGGGAGAACCCAGATCGAATAGTTGGCCATCCGGAAAGAGGACACAAATTTGACCCAAAAGAGAAAAAATGGTCATATAATGCTGCTCCAGCTGGAAAGTATTCAATGATACTCACAGGTGCTGCCTTTTTGCACAAGGTAACCAGTGACTTTGTCAACTAACTTAAGCGGATATCGACAAGTTATGATAATCTTTCTTTCTCCATTCTTAATTCCTGATTCCTAAATTCGACTGGTGCTGTTGGTCTTTCACTTAGATAAGATCGTTTAATTTTTTCCCTAATCGTTCATATGTCGTTGTCGGTGGTACATTCGAACGCAGCGAGACCTGTAACTCAATATCACTGAACAACTAAAGTTGTGAACCAGCCGTATCTTCTGAAGATGAATATTGTTGCAAATTTTATACCTGTTGGCTGTCTCGTAACCTAAGTACCACAAAGCTACCACTTCTGGATTCTGTTTTTGCAAACCCTAGAGTATTGTGTAGATCTGTGACAGAGAGGATTGAACTATGAAATTAAACGTCTAAAAGGTTGTCCCACTGGGTACAACCTCATCACATCACATTTTTGTATGGTGATTCAAAGACGACCCATGACTTCGCACCTTTGTATGGTGATTCAAAGACGACCCATGATTATTCTTCGCACCTCCTCACAGTGGAGTTAACTGATTTGGCGTTTCCAAAGTTGATAGTTTGTGGAGTCTCAGAAAATAATCGAGATACTGTGTGTAAGTAGTAAGGTAAAATCATTAAAATCCGCAGTAACAGTACGTTTTGTGGTCAATCAAGTGAACACGGTCCACAAACATCTATTTAATCCATGCTCGTGTTGATCGGCAGTCTCGACGCGATTGACTGAATCCTCCATGTTCACGTTTTCATTGAAATTCGAGGCGTGAAAGCCGCTTAAAACCTAGAGCACTTTGTCCCCTTTACCCGTCTTAATAAAACTGATGGAACACACATGTTGCTATGTCTCATCACGTTCCTTAGTCTGTTCACGTGTGCAATTAAAATATTGAAGTTATGTAAATGAAGGGTGGAAATTTCGTTGGTAGTGATAGGAAACTTTGGAATTCTTAATGGACATACCAAGGCTATAAATGAAGACAATTTATGCCGGAAAGCCGAGAAACACTGTACGGTTATTTCATCATTATTGGGTATTTTGTATGACTATACCTGAATAATTCTCGAAACTGTTGAATACGTTCAACCATGGAAGAGGTTCAAAAAAGTCACGGTACGGTAACAAATACATCATGAATAACCAATGCGGCCGTATCTTTTCGATGATAGGAGTAAGGTGGACGCAAAATGCGTGCATACCTCTCATGCGGAACCGACCGGGAACCAGGTCGAATATTGTCCTAAAGCTCGATGCGGACCAAGGCAACAGCTGAAGGAGTGCTACATATGGTCAATACAACATCACAGTTAGTCCGGAGGTTGTGTGCCTTTTTTATAAGAAGAAAACAGCTACGTGAGCAGAGCCAAGGCTGCACGATTTCGGATAACCGTAAACAGCAGGCAGCCTGCCAGCGAGCCCCTTCACTCTGATCATGATACTGGGCTCGTGTGTTCACGCTCCCACGAATCCAGGACCGAATCACGCTAACTGCAACTAGCTGACTATGGCGAGGCCTGCTGATACTCAGTCAGCCGACATCAGCTGTTCTAGGAGTCGCACGACGGCTGCGCAAATGGACAGCGTTAGACAGTCTCGTCCGCTGTGTTTGTTGCAGGAAAGACACAAGTAAAACAAACAATGCTTTTGTGAAAGCCCCAAGACATATTGGCGTGGTGATAAACGTAGCACTCCGCTCATATGACACCGGAAACAGAGGAACCTACCCCACTGTTTCCTGTTCACGTTAAAACTGATTCATCTAGCACCCGAGCGATGAGTGCAGAGGGTGATGGTGTAAAGGTAGTTCGGCTACGATGAAACTGAGTGTGAATGGCAGTTCAGTGCAATTGCCATTGATGTAAGGTCGGTTACAAGCAAATATTTTTTAACCTTGTGGCGAAATACATAAGGCGTGAAGAGGATCCTCCGGATACGCACTTCCAGCTGTACATGAAATTCCCCGAGGACTGGAAAATATTTCGAAAAACAGCATACCAAGAATTCCTTATTAAGGTGTGGGGATTTGTAGCTCAGGTGACGTAGATGGTCGTTATTTTGTTCAATGAGCTAGATTTTTTGATTGCAAACGTTTCACCGAGATACCACCAGTGAGTTGTGTAATATATCTGCATGTACAAAAGTATCCAAACTCACTGTGTGGATGTTCTGAGAATAGCAGCCAGGTGGGCTGAAAAGGATGGATGTATCAGGTTGGATGTATCTGTAAGTTGGTAACTCTCGCCAACTGTTCACAAAGAAGCACAAGAACGTAGGTTCAACAGTTTATTCTCCGAGCCTTTGAACACGTGAGGATTGAGGAGAGAGTGTGTGACAACAACGGGGAACAGGGGTACAAGCATATAAACATACAGTGTTAGTGACTGGGGAGGGCGATCAACCTCCTCTGTACGGTATTACGGGATGTCTTCATTTTCTACCATTGTTACCGCTGCCGCTTGTGAAAGTAGACAAAAGAGATTGTGATTAACGATGGCACGATTTTGACATTGGTCGGAACATTACAGTTGTTAGGTGGCGGATTGGAGCTTGGAGGTGAGTCACCAGTTGTGCGCTGAGCAGTTGTCAGTTAGCAGGTCTGTTAGTACACGTGCTGCTAGCCGGGCTGATCTACGATCACGATTGATTCTTCCGTCGGTTGCTTCCATTGGTTCAGCTGTTATCCTGGGAGAAATGTGCTGGGAAGTGAAATTAGGACTTTCCAGGTTTTTAATGGTTGCGCGAACATGAGCGCGTTCATCTCGTCGAACCAATCTCGGAGTATAGAGCTGAACACCGAATAAAAACAGAACGACAGATGATTCTTGAGTTTGAAATGTCTACGACACGAACTGCTCTTTTTCAGAACTCAAACGCATAAACTCTAATCTAGACTTACACAGAAATTGGGTGGAGAAGTTTGTCCGATTTAAGTCCAGTTTACTCTAGAGTAGCAGAAGCCATCCCAACTATTTTCGGTCATTTATCAACCCTACTTTTACGTGAAACCCACTGGGATTACAATCATATAGGAGATGTCCTAATTTGCCGGACTCGTTGAAGCTGGGTTGCGAGTACCATATTTTACCATACATGGTGTGGTTTCCTATTACGGCCAATGGGGTGGAAGCAGAAACATTTAAGTGACTAATAGAGCACTATCAATTCGGACTAACTGAGTTCCGTAGGTCAAGCAGATGCGACACATTCAGAGTGGTCATCAGGAAAGAATAAGCAATCTGAATGCGCAAGAGACTGCATTTAAAATTCGCAGTCAAATGTATACAGTCATACAGTTGTAGAACCAGAAAGCGTGAAATGCAGAAATCATCTTACATATAACGCGGCTTGGGAATTGTGAGTTGTGGGAATTAAACATTTAAACAAAACTCGTCAGCAAACTCAGCGTTGTCAGTAGACGAATGAATGTTTTGATTGCATTGGCTTAGCTGCGAGGTCGTTGCTGGCAAGGCGAGAAACCATTCATTCACGACCAAGTCAGCAGTTAGCCCGAAGTATGTATCCTATGAATTGTTTTTGACGAATGTGTGTTGCTTACCAGCAATTTTTAGGTCTAATTAGGTGACGACACCTGGCCCTTCGTGTTTACGCGAGCGAAGTAACTGAGCACATAACATGTAACGCTTTAACTCTGGAAAGTTCTATAATGACATGCGCATTCGCTTCATCACTCATGTTCATTGGTACTCTGCTTTTTCTTACCCACTTACGTACCTGATAATTCTCCCAAGGTGACAATAAAATGACGGTTCAAAAACACCGATTGAGAGAGCAATTTTCAAGGGAACTAGCCCGTATGTTTCAAATAGAGAATAACTGATACGAGGTATACGACAGAGGTAAACAAAAACGCCGTGGTATACGACTTCACAGCTCAAACTACGCACAATCTACTCATCAAGAAGGTGTAAAGTTCTCAAGAGAAAACAATTTAGCTACTTCCGGTTGTAATATTAGGCGTCTGTTGGCTCAGAAAGGGAAAATTTCAGCGATAATTAATTTCCAATGCTTGTAGGCATGTTGCGTTTTGTGACGCATTTGTTTATTTTGCGTGCAAACACCTCTTGTGCTGACATGAAATGAGACAACCCCGATCCAGATATAACAGTTTGTTAGCATTTTCAATAGGCTTGCATTTATTCATTTATTTATTTATTCATTTGTTTGATTATTTATTTGCTTGTCTGTCGTCAGCCGTTCAAAATTGCTAAATTTGGACAACTGACAAAATTACAAGTAAGGGTGAAAAGGTGATGTCTTTGTCAAACTGATAAAGTTAAATTGCTTTTACTCAACTCATTTCGCGCCGCTGGTTTATCATTTGCCTTTTCAACTGAAGTACTATCTATACACCTACACGTGGGATATGCCTCCGGCAGCCCGAGATCTAGTGGACAGGAAGAAAAACTGTGAAGATATCGCCATGAATTTTTATGTGGCACATTTGACGAGAAAGCCGCCAATCAAGGTGAGTCAGCCGTTATTTTCTGAGGACACTCGACTCAGTGTTACTCTCTTATTACGGAAGTAGCAGAACCATCTGCCTGAGTTTATGGACAATACGGATGTGCACCACCCACGAAAAATGGCCTCCTAATAGTTCCGAAATTTATTACTTAAATAAACATTGAATGGAGGAGGGATTCACCAAAAAATATGTTCGTCAGTTCACGTCATGAAGTTAGCCGTGACTCTCATGTCTGGTGAACATCTGTGTATCTGAATGTCTGTTTCAAATTGAAATATACACCCGGCTATTTCGAGATGGTCCTGTTCACCCACGAAACTGGCGCATAAATAAGGTGTCCAAGCGCTTTCACCAGCCTTATGAGTAGTTTCCTTTATGAGAATATACTACAACATCCGAAAGTGAAACATGGGCAGCCTTCCGTGCAGCACATTTATTCAAGGAATATCATAAATGACAGATTCAGTTGAGTCTTCCGTAAAAACCAAATTAATATGTAAATGAGTCTGTTTGTCCAGAACAGGGTGTCGGGGACTTCTGCGAAAGTTTCAACTGTCCTCATTTACGTCACTGCTTTGTCTACTCTAGTATAATTTGCCGCCTCTTTTCAGGTGTTGAGCCGAAAGTATTTCTCATGTGATGGGTGCGCTCAAAATCAACTCAGTTTATCAAGTCAACATTATCAAAGCCGTTCCAAATGTGTCAATGAGCTGGTATCCATATATGGCTACAATCCCTTGATTTACACGCGATTTCGTTTGGAACCTTACCCGCAATGAACCTGAACATCTCGCTATGATTGATGATGAATATATTCCAAAATTACACTATCAACCACAAATAGTGCCTGTCCCGAATTAGGGTAAACAAACAGCCACATGTGGTGAAGTCTACATAACATACTTTTGATTTTCACTATAAACCAGATCACAACTTATTTGAAATGCAGACTTTGAACAACGAACTTCTTGACTGACAGTGGGAAGACAGGCATCGTTTGCCCACTCCAAGTGGTTTTCACGGATGCGTCTGTAATCAACAGTTGTCAGTTATTTTGTTGAACTACCGACAGTCTTTGATATCCTGTAAGCTTCCAGTGATACTTCTGATACCAGTTTCAGTTCAAAATGGTTGGAAGTGATCAGCTTTGATGTTCTATTCTGCTCCTTTTGAAGTCATTTTTTACTGGCATTGTTTATTCGAAATCGAAGGATGAATAAGTAACACCAGGATAAAGATGTCGAAAAACCTTGCAAAGCACTGGGGGATATTTTGTTTGAATAAGGTACCGGTGCATAGGAAATAGAAAGGTAATTTGCTGAATGTTTAGTAACCACACACAACCGTTTATACTGAAATAGGTAAACAGACACTCTAATGAGTGACGAGAATTTCGTTAAACTCAAATTGACTGACAAACAATGAGGAAACCCATGGTAATTGTGCGACTATAAACGGTGCTTATGATGCAAGATAGAGTGAAAATACCAATCCATTCAGAAGTAAAACTCATTTAAAACCGGTGAGCCGGTGCTCTACACAATATTTTCCCCCACAATTCTGCATTTTTCAACCTATTCGTATCAGCATTTAATACTTAAGGCTGGTAGATGCGAGTATTTTGCAGTTTCAGTCGCTATGGGGTTAATAGTACCACTGGCCTATGGCTCTGTTCCCAACCCCTATATAACTGGCTGTAGCACGCCCAACCAGCGTATAACTGATTCGTTCAATTAACACTGAACGAATATGTGCAGTTCACAAGAGAGACGGCCTGTGCGGGTCTACCTACCCATTGGTGGATGAATATCCCAGCTCATCTCAACAAGTTAATGGCTTTCACGTTGCTCTCTCACTGACACAATCGTACCCACTTGTCCCACATCTGCTTACTGGAGCCAAAGTCCTGTGAAACACTGACACAATCGTACCCACTTGTCCCACATCTGCTTACTGGAGCCAAAGATCCTGTGAAATACAAGCGATTTTAGAATGGCCAACAGAGTTTTTTGAGTTCAAAACGTTTTGCCATTTTCGTCGGACGGAGAGTAGCACATGAACGAATAGTCTGAATGAGCGATTTTAATTACAAAGTTTCGGTCCAAGCTATGAAATGAAAACCATGCAAGTTATACACAAAGATTGCTTCAAATGTTCACTCCGACCAGTATGCCTGCATTTTATCGATACTTCCAGATTTTTTTCGACCTGAGAAGCAGAACTTTGAGTTGCAAAATTACACTGACGTCTGGTTTTGTCACTACGGCCAAAAGCTTCTAATAATTTGACGGCTCCGTAAAGTTTATTCTTTCCGCACCGTAGCTCGACACTGCTAAACACGGTGTGATTTCTGTTGCATTTGGGCAAAGAGGGTTCTGACGGTGGTGTCGCCATGACACGATGCATGAGAATGGGTAACATGGTTTTTGGTACTCCGAATCAACAACAAGTGAATGCAGGAGACTATCATGATGTCAAGTTAGATTCATATTGTTTCTAACTCTTGGTTCACCACCCGAGGTCCTGTTTCAGAATTTGACTGAAAATCAGGTCAGTTTTCCTTAGATTTCTCAGCATCTTTGAGACAACCTTCAGCATATCATCGTTTGCAGGCGCTTGATGTGCACAAACTCCAGTTAATGTCTGCAAGGAAATTGGTCTCAAGCTGGCATTCATTTAGCTAGTTTCAGTCACAGGGCTAATAAGATAGAAACTGTTGACGAATCCGCTTGTATGTCGGTTGTCGTTGTAACTGCTTCATTCACGTGAATCATAGAGCTAGTCCTCAAGTGTTTTGACCTTGTTTAGCTTATCCTGCAGCAGCTGCGTTATCCGCTACCATTTGTTCTTATGTCTTGTTTTCTTCACATAATCAGATAAATGAGCATTTCGGTTTAATCACAGAAAACTTGGTCATACTTCAACCATTGGTTTGGATGAATTCTTGCCTGTTTTATCACACCACATTGATGAATAAGCATGAAAACAAAAGTGATAGCTTTTTCTGTCACTTTCTGTGAAAAACTCGCTGTGTCAAAACATTCCAGTCTACAATAGTACAAAGTAATCACGCTCTCATATACGTGATGCACTGCTCATAGGGTTGCTGAAAATCCGTCGACAGCCCCCGGCTGGTTTCGTCCTTCATCAGGTGGGCGCAGTCCCCAAGTTTCCGTCAACCTACTTGAAGCCAAATTGCACGAACTTAGCGAAATGCATTCATTTCCAAACAAATATGGTTTCGCGAGAGACTCACTTAGAACCCAGCTGAATCTCTCGTTTGCGATGTTTCCAGGTGATTGAGTGTGCTGCACCAGGCCGCCTCATGTTCCTGTCGCTACAAACTAGAGATTCAGCTGGGTTCCAGGTGAGTCTTTCGCAAAACCAAATTTGTTTGCAAATGAGTTTATTGCGCTAATCATGCTTCTCTTCATTTAGTGTTGAGCTGATCACGGTAGGACATTTTTATTAGTTCACCGGAGTGTAGATTCATGTCTTATTTTCGGAGAACCACTGAGTTTATTGCGCTAATCATGCTTCTCTTTATTTAGTGTTGAGCTGATCACAGTAGGTCATTTTTATTAGTTCACCAGAGTGTAGATTCATGCCTTATTTTCTGAGAGCCACAACATCCACAAGTTGGAAACGCGCTTTTAATGTGTTTTAGCCTTTGTCCAGCCATCCAGGAGTATTAACCAGGAATTTGGTAGCGTGGGGCTAAACCCCACCGTCGCACAGGTCGGATTTTGCTTCAAGGAACATAATGGCTAGTTGGATAGTCTCCAGCGGACCAGGAAAGAACTTTCGACCCCCAGGTTTGTTAACAACTGTTTGGTCATTCCAGCACTCTAGCCGCGACCTGGGAAGAGGCTAAAAATTATCCGAATCGGTATCGTGCTACAGCACACAGCTCTAGAGGAAACAGACTATTGCCAGCATCAATTGTACAATTGTTTGGTCATTCCAGCACTCTAGCCGCGACCTGGGAAGAAGCTAAAAATTATCCGAATCGGTATCGTGCTACAGCACACAGCTCTAGAGGAAACAGACTATTGCCAGCATCAATTTGTACAAGTTCGTGTAAAACAGATTCAATGTCCTCATCTGGTTATGTGCGACGTGCTATATTAATGAGGTATTATTAAGTGAACCACCGGGTATGCTAAAATCAGCATGGATTAGTAATACGATATAACGTTAAGCGGCTACTTTGTAGGTATTCTTCCAACCACAAAATAATGTTTCAAATACAGCAAGATGTTTTCTGGCCGATTACTTCCGCATATTTGTTGGTTCCTTAGATTCACCGTGCACTGATTTCCTTGTTGAAGAGCAACGAAATAAACAAGGAATACAGGTACTACTGCAACTTTGTTGAATGAATCCATAACAGGCTATACGAGCATTAACTAACACTGAACTATTATCGTCATCATCATCATCATCGTCAACAACAACAATAACAACAGACTCATCAGAATCTTTGTGGAGACGGACACTTCACTACCATTCGACCACGTACGTTTAATAAGATTAAAGCCTTAAAATGGAATCAGGGAGAAAAATTAGTGAGTGACGGGTTTGAGGCTCGCACAACGCAAGCATTCCTAGTGCCCAAACCTTTAAAAGCTCAATCAGTCTGTCATCATTTCTCGCAACGCCTCCAGCTAAGACCGAGAGCTGGAGTCACAGTAACCGCATTCTAGAAAGCGGATCCTACGAACATCCAAACTCCTTGTAGTCACTTTAAACCCTTCTGTCAAGTCATAGGTTGTCCACCTGGCAGTTTGAAGGGCATGCGTATTGCGTTGCCGAGCCATTTCAGTTGTTGGTACCGGATGTTTTCTGCGACTGAATTACATGCTGCAAGACAAATTAGCTGTTTTCTGATTGCCCTGTACGAATTCGATGGATCTGAACAATGTATGCATGTACTATTCTCCACAACTTCCAGTGGTTCTCCCTAAACTGTAAAGGGGATATAGAGAGCCTGCGTGTTCCGGAGCATGACTGTGCACTTTGAAAGTGCAAGGCTCTTACCGAAAGAGGAAACGATGGTAGTCAGTCCATTCAAAAGGGCTTGTGATGAGGAAGGTGTCGTTTGCGTACTCCAGATCGACGAGGTTTTCACCAGTAACGGTTTAGTCACAGACGTTTTGAAGACGCAGCGCCCCAACTTGTGGTCGTCGGAAAGAAGCAAGGAGAGAGCTGACACACTTGTAGAGCACAACTTTTCGGAGGGAGATTTTTGATAGATTAGTATGAGCCCAACAACATACAGGCGTATGTTAATCTAGGGACCGGATCATGTCCATAAACTTCTGGATCAAATCCCTGATGACCAAGTACAGACAAGAGCCTGAGCGATTAGTAGAAACAAACGAACCTGTCTCTAGATACCTTAACAGAATAGGTCGTCTGTACCCATGGAGAGATCTGACGGAGAGTGAAGACGCTATCTAGGCAGCTTCTACTAGGTTGAAATCCAGCTTGGTGCTTACGGATCAATATTTGATATGCGACCATAAAACGACGAGGACTCTGTGAGGCCAGAAGCCTTGCTACAACTAGATTTAAATGACGCCCCTGTGATTTCCACGTTCACTACGAGTACCCTTATCGAAGAAGGATAGAAGTAACAAATTACCGTAGTTGTTTGAGACAGGCACCTTCTCCTAGATAGATACAAATTGTCTGGACACGTATTGGCTGTGGAGTTCACCGCCGTTGTTGAGCACAGTGAGTGGAATATCGTCAGGGTATGCATTCAGACACTTGTGAAACTGCAGGATACTGTAGGTTTTCAATCCGCGTTTCTTTCAAAGCCCGACAGTTCGGGCTGAAGGTTGCAGATGGCCAACCAAGATACTACTCAAATTGTTATGCCAAAAGGTTCAAACATTCTTTGTTGAATGTCGGAGAATCACCGTGATCCATAATCGTTTTACTGATGAGACGCTTCGCACAACTACTGGAAACAATCAAGCGAAACAATTTGCAAGCACTTCACATTTTGCTCGTTCCACCTCTTCGACATTTCGAACCCTCCAACTTCCCGGTTTGCACGGGCATTCAGTTTTAACTGTCATCGGTTAATATGTCGTTTTAAGTTGTGTTCTAACCAGGAAGCCATCGCAAGGCCTCCAGCAAAGTCACGGACTTATCAGTGGTCGAGCGCTTGGATGAGTTGAATGTCGCTCTGAACATCTGTCTCCAATGACCATTGGCATCCGACATTTATTGAAGGGGCCGGTTCTAGGAAGTTTTTTTATTTCGGTATCCTCAGGCTTTCCAGCTGCTGAACAAGGTGTGCACGCTTTGTGTAGACCTAAACGTTGCAATGAAAATAAGCAAAGTACAGGTACATCCTTGGAGTTCACGCAAGTACTCCAGAAGGACCGGCAAACCGATGTCCGTGTGTCATGCGTCCAACCATATACGACCATTCATTCGATCCTAAGCAGCGCTAAGTCTGTGTGCCGGAGCGTTCATGCCACCAGTCACCACAAACTTTTAACTGGTCGTTTAAGAGACCCTAGAGCACTATAGGAACTGACCTTGGCAGATTCAGAGCTTCAGTTCATTAGGGCATGAACCCAAACAATAATCAGGAAGCAATGGACCTCTTTTCCCGAGGTTTTTAAACAGACACTGCCAAACGAACCCCTCAAAAGTAATTATCAGCAGATTTCCAGTCAAGCAGAAACGCTTCCGCTAAGTGGATAAATACTGGTATATCCAGGTGAACTGGCATCTGCATCGCCAGAGATGTGCATTCGGAACATCTAAGATAGAGAGTTGGACAGTCCATTCAATTAGAGTAATTCCGTTCTGAATCTTTGATTTTTGTATACAGTACACATCATTGGGGGGGATATTCAACGTACGCTTGTTCTTCTACCAGTTAGGCCCAGCTAATAACCTAGAGAAAACCTCACTCATTCATTTCTATGAGTACTTCAATAATACATACCCAGCCCCTCTCCACGCAGTCTGGTAAACATCCGTATACAAAGTTTTTTTGTTACGTCAAGTTTTCCCTTCTGGTTACATGCATTACTTAGTTCTTTTCAAGTTTTTTACTTTTCAGAGGTGGGCGTCTAATCGTTTATTTCCTACCCGACACGTAGCACAATAACGAAGTCATGTGACGGACCATCGAGTGTGAAACAAACGACTGGAGCCCAGCTTCGTAAATGCGAAAACTGTAGAGGTCGCGCGAGTTTGTTCTAAACTCTGCAGTGCTTGATTACGCAGTCTAGCTCTTAATCGCGAATCCATCGGTTTGGAAATCAGACTGAGACCAGAGGGCATTGAACAACCGCACGCAAACTCAGCATGGCGATAACAGTACATAAAAACAAAATGTAATATTCCATCATTATCGTCAATGCCAGCACATGGGTATTAGATATCAGTTCCTACTTGCCACACAAACACACTAAAAGGCCCCTGCAACCCTGCAAAAAGAGGACTTAGTGCGAAGAAACCCATACTCTTAACGGAACTGATCAGGAATATGGTGTCTGCATTTTTGGACAGAAGTGAATTAAAAAGATCTGGTCATGACGGCAAAGTAAAGAACAATTGGCGGGAGTGATCTAGTGTCCTTTACGAAGCGCAAGCAACAAGAACCCAGCATATTATAACAGGCATTTTTCAGCTAGATAATCCGACTAAGAAATGACAGTATACACGCCACCAGAATCGATAATTTTAATCTGCTGCTCTAACGAATCGATTTAATTACCCATTGCCCATTTAAGCACCAGATCTTTGAGAACTGGCTGCAGCTAAATCACTTTTTCTGTGCTAAGGACACGCCGTTAATCAGATGTCTAAAGTTCCTCGGATCACCGGGAGCAAGACTGACAACCATGCAGCAAGCCCGCTTATACAGTTACCTTGTATTCACGACCATTTAGCTACAGTGGAATCTGGTCCTGATGTCATGAATGACGTAAGGTGGCAAGCGTGGCTGGCGCCTTGATTATGCCTGTAATAATTTCATCTTTTACAATGCAATCACTGCTCATACAGCTGCCAAGATAAGTGAAGCGATCAGCAAACTCAAGTTCTTCCCTGTGAATTTTCAGAGAAACACAAGGCGATGGGAAATGTTGAAGCACAAGATTGCACTCTGAAAGTGTAAAACGTATGCTAAAACACGGGATCACATCCGATATTTTGGCTAAAGTAATTAGTGCGAACAAATAATAGTCAGGCGGCTGTCAAATGCCTTCTGGATAACTCACTTTACACCCGGAACCAACCGGAGGTACGGGGATAATTACGAAATTCAAGCGCAGCCCCTTCTGATCGAGAATATTTATCAGAACTAATCCATCAGTGGAGTCGAACGTCCTT